GTCACAGCTTATTTTTCTAGAATGAGCATGGATACTTGTAGCAACGATGTATTTGTTGCCATATGTTGTTGATTTTTATAAGTCCTCAAGTCCTCTAAGCCAACACAACAACCCCAAAAAAGGCTGTTTTAGATTCTTATTGTTTCGTTGGACAATGTTCAGACTTCTGACCAAGATTTATTAATTTATTTTTGTATTTAAAAAATAGTATTTCAATCAGACAGACGTTCTAATGAGTTAGAAAAATACATTTGTCCATCACCTCTCAAGAAGTTTTCAAAAGTAATCAAGTCGATTTGTTTATTTTAGTGTTTAGCATTGTTTTTCATAACTTGACGCTTCCATGAACAGAATGACTTTGAAATGAGTATTTATAATTTTAGCATTTATACGACATGCTTATTGTATATTTCTATATGAACGTTGTAGTTATGTGATGTGATCGCCCCCCCCCCCCAAATTACAGGTATACAACTTTTGGTCGGAATACTTTAACATGCGATTAAAAGCAATTTTAGACTGTTAGATGATCTCTCATGTAATCTAGGTGATGTTGGTAGACTTCCGCAGTTAAGAAAACAAAGACTACGACAAAGAGAACTATATAGCAATTAATCCTTTTGTTATCACTAAATGTTAGATTCTTTATTGGACAATATTTTGACTTCTGTCTCCGATTGTTATGCAGATATGTGTATATAATCATGTGGACAACGTATTACGTGGAAATTCCCATATTCATTCTCATAATGTCTTACAGCTATTTCGCAAATGACATGCATGTAAGCCTAAATAACATGTGGACGTAATATTGCAGAACTGAGCGAAAAGAAAGGTTGAACAAATTCGATTAAGATATTTTATTTTTTAAATGCACAAAGGGCAACAGTTGAAGAGCAAAAATTAAAGGCGTTGTGAAATAGATCGTGCTTTTGTATGATCCTCTTCTATAGTGCCCTACCCTTTGCATTTGTTCGACTTCACTTCTTAAAAGAGAGTTTCGTCTTCTTGTAGTATATAACTAGACTCTGCACGTAGCGTAATAGTGCCCCTATTAGCCATGTACAGGGGCGTAGCAAACTTGGGGGGGGGGGGTACGATTGCCAAAAAAACAATATCGGATTTCAGTCTGAGACAAATGGTCAAACATGAGTTTCAAAAAACTTCTAGAATTACCTTATGTAAATATTTACGTTAGCTTGTTTAATTAAGGTCTGACGTTATGAAAACAAAGTGCCATTAATTTCTGAACCGTATAATACAGTATCATCTGTTTGGTCTCGGTATATTCCAGTTTAATTTGTATTATACAAAACATGATATGTATAATTTGTATTATACCACTTTGAAACCTGTTATAATAGAAAATGATATGCGTATAATACTGTTTAATCTGATCCTGACTTAAATTATATCAGGTTAAACTGGAATATATTTTGGTTTAATCGGGTATCATTCTCTAATGATATTTGAGTCCGGATCAGATGTTATAATATTGAATGATACTTTCTGTGATATTGGATTAAACAACAAATTAAACATCAATATAAGATGTTATCACAAGTATTAATCACAGGATTTTACATAGTGCAGAAGCCTTTCTTGGCACCCACTTCCACCCTTCCTTTCAACCTGTCATGAATAGTTGATTCGGGATACCAAACCGGCTCTCCGCAGCTCTAATCGACATCTCTTTCCGGGATATTACATTGAGCGCCTCCTCCATATCCTTTTGATTCCATCATGGAAACACTCCCTTTACTTTTCGTTGCATACTGAACTACAAGTGAAATGAAATAGATTAGAGAGATTTCGCACATAAGTGAAAGTATCTGAAATATGGAAATACAATTTCAAATTTTCTCTTCACTGCCTTAAATGAAGAGTTAAAACATGATGAAGTAAAATAGTGCTTTAAGTAACGATTTGTTGCTGAAGGAGCAAATTTACCATTTACCATTTTACCATTTAAATTCTTGCCCTAAATGAACCCATTATGTAAAACAAAATAAATTATTGCAAATGGTAAATAAAATAAATTTCATCTTTTTTTCTTTTTTTCTATTTCATCATCTAGATTTTCACGTTGATGTTTTAAATTCCCATTTTCTCTGGGAAGGTTGACTTGAGTAGAAATAGAACTAAAAGTATTTTCAGATGAAGAAGGTATTGAAAAGTAATAACTCCTTTAAGAAGTGTCAAGTTCAGCCTTTCGCCTCTTTTTTCTTAAGTTTGAACATTTTTTTCAAGATCATTTTCACCCTCAAATTTGATGGGACTGATCCCGGGCATTTATCTTAAATGTCACTGATGGACAGGCTCCAAGCCTCTCTGTTTGTGAGCAGAGACATCTGAAAGTCACACACACACATCATTTTTTAAATATATATACACAATCTAATGCAAATACAGAGTTTCAAATATTACTACAGCTTTAAAAACGAATATATTTTACTTAGTGTTACTAAATAACATGGCTGTTTGGCAGGATGTGTATTTCTAATTTTACATCTGAATGCATGACTATACATGCATTTATACACAGTGAAATTCAAAATGCTTTCTGTATTCTTAATGATTGATAATTTAATCAAATAGATCTATTAATTCATGTTTATTATTCTGTTTCCTGAAACCCTACCCTTTTTCCGGTCCTGCAATGAATTTTCTTCTGTCATAGGTCACTCTACCCTTTGTCTCCTCGGCAAAGATTAGCTGGAATGAAACAGTTAGGATCAACAAGCTGACAATCTCACATGGAGGCCAATGTCATATAAGCTGAAAGCTAATATGTGAATCAATGTCACATGTTGGTAATATGGGGATCAATGTCACATAACATAATGGTAACATGGAGGTCAATGTCACATAACATAATGGTAGCATGGGGGTCAATGTCACATAACATAATGGTAATATGTGGATCAATGTCACATAACATAATGGTAACATGGGGGTAAATGTCACATAACATGATGGTTATATGGGGGTCAATGTCACATAACATTTATGGTAATATGGGAGTCAATGTCACATAACATAATGGTAATGTGGGGGTAAATGTCACATAACATAATGGTAAAATGGGGCTTAATGTCACATAACATGATGGTAACATGGGGGTCAATGTCACATAACATAATGGTAACATGGAGGTCAATGTCACATAACATAATGGTAACATGGGGGTCAGTGTCACATAACATAATGGTAACATGGGGGTCAATGTCACATAACATAATGGTAACATGGGGGTCAATATCACATAACATAATGGTAACATGGGGGTCAATGTCACATAACATAATGGTAATATGTGGATCAATGTCACATAACATGATGGTAACATGGGGGTAAATGTCACATAACATAATGGTAATATGTGGATCAATGTCACATAACATAATGGTAACATGGGGGTAAAAGTCACATAATAAATTCTCATTGAGACGATGTTAAAAATCTTAATGTTGACTTCCTAAATGTTGAATTCTTTTGATTGTCATGAATTTAAGGTTCACACAAAATCTGAAGATCATCTAGTTTCAAACATAATCTGAATCTCATTAAGTTTGATGCAAAAGCAGTTTTACTTTAATCCAAAATAACAAAAATGGTAAATCAATATGGTTCTATGGTAGATGCTAGCGTGTAGTCCAACCAGCACAAGTGCTGCCATCTACCTATCCATTCATCAGTTTAGCACCTAATAAGGTCAGTACTCATGGTAAAGCTTTTGTACCTTGTCTATGGTAAAAATAAATCGAACAGAAATGTTAACTTGACACGATTGGTAATGCCCACCTTGAAGGGTGTAGGGATAAAGGGAAGGGTCAGGATAACACTTATATAAAATATTTAAAGTGTCTAATAATGATAATGAACATATTACAATGTTACACAACATAAGTAGATGCTAATTAAATGTCAATTGTTGTTAGTATAATATGTATTTTTCATTTAATGCTGCAACAAGTACACACGTACCTAAAAGTGCCACGCCCACTTTTCCCTAAAAGCAGCTATGTGTGACTATATTTGATAAATATTATTGATTTATAGGATCATTATGAACACTTTTCAGTGTTTAAATGTTAAAATATACATATTGATACAATTTTTGACAAAGTAGCAGCCATAAAATCCAAACAGATTTGGAAATATTTCACTTTGAGATCAAAAGGACACATTTGGGAGGGGGTCAAATTGAGAATATTTCAAGATATAAATACTGTTTCTATGGTAACCATCACAGTTAGAGATTGGAAATTTCTGGCACTTACTAACCATAACATGCCCTACCCAATATAAAACAATGAATATCTGACATGCATTAGTATTCTTTTTATTGGGTGGTATTAAAGTACCCCCATGGTTTTTTTGGGGGTAGGGGTATAAATTGGTCTGAGAGCCGTCTGCCACCCCTATAGAAAGTCCAACTACCCAGAAAGTGTCCAGTGTCATCATACAGATGGTTTGAAATAGGTTGGAATGTGTAACCTTTCATGTAAGGAAGGAGTTACATATTATTGAAATAACGTATTCATTTACTAAATTTCATGCATTGAGAAATGCTGGAATATTATTGAAGCTTTTAATGTATAGTCAAGGAGGATTGGCTCCCAGAATGCAACATCGATATGTTGCGATACAATCACCTAGCGATATTTTCCAACAAAGCTAGCGTCAATATTGTATGATACTAGATTAGTATAAATTCTAGATCATCATTCACAAGATTTGAACTAATGGTTACTAATTAAAGCCACTAACACCTTGAACACTTCTTATGGTTTTGAACTTTTGTCATATGTAATAAGACCAAAACTTGCGATTCAAATTTTGAAGTGAGGTACGGACTCTTGGGACTGACGCTAGCTTTGTTGGAAAATATTGATGTTGAACCCTGGGAGCCAATCCTCCTTGATGTATATTATATTATAAACGTACCTATGCCTGATGCTCTTCGTTTCCTCGCCTCTTTCTTTTTCTCTGTCTCTCCGTCTTTCCCATCAGTCTCATTCTGCTCCGTCTGAAATGGTTTTCTCATTCTTTGAAGTGCCTCGTTCCTCAGTCTTCTCGCAACCTTAGCGTCATTTGACTTTTTATCCTTCTCTTTTTCTTGTTGAAGCTTTTTCTCCTTCTCTGTTCTGAGAAGAAATGCTTCCTCTAACAAGACTGTTGACACTATAATAAATAATGAATACAATACATATTCTGAAGTATGAAAGAAAAATAAACTTACAGATATAGTTGTCCCAGGAGTGGATTTTAACCCACCCTTGTTTTCCAAACTTGAAATTGTCAAAACACCTTCGGGCACAGCGTCTTCTCGTTTGCTGTACATTGTTATATCCAATGTTTGACTGCCTTCAGTTTCTTGAAGTGTGATTATCGTATTCTCAAAAGATCTACGTTTCTGAAAATAAAAGGACTTAAACATGCAGAATATGATAAAATATAATTATCCCACCCTAAGTGTTTTATATGATTGTATGTTTTTATTGTATGTAAAATAGCATTGTATAATATAAAACCATCACTCATCATATACAGCTCTTGCGAACGATATACAACTCCTGGGTAGCGTATATTATTCCATAATAACATGTTTTCCCATGCAAATAAACAGGGAATAGAATTGATATTCAAAAAATCCCGTATCAGATCCCGTATTGGATCCCATATCAGATCCCATATCAGCCAAAATCCCGTATCAGATCCCGTATTGGATCCCGTATCAGAACTATTCCCGGGCATTTCTCTTGATTTTTACAATTTTCGTTCTGTTTTAAAACTTGTTACTTATAAAAGTTGAAAATGATTATGTTTTAATGATGAATCAAATTCTATCATTTTATATCATCATAATTGAATGATGACAAACCAAACATGAAAATGAACAAGTTTCAGAATTTATTATGGAATAAATAGGTTATTGATGATGGTCGTGATGGAATATGAATTTTTTCCTCGAGAAAATATATGATATTGGTCTCGGCAAATATCATATTGACGCTCGGGGTTTCGCCCTCGATCAATATGATATTTTCCTTGGGCAATACCATATTTTCCCTCAGAATAAAATTCATATTCCATCCCTCCCATTAAATTAACTCTATTTATCCCATGATACTACTACTTCCCGGTGAATAACACCCGGGAATATTTTTGATATTATCCCGCCCGATCCCGCTCATGAAAATCGTATTCACTTCCCAATCCCGCTCACGAAAATGGCATGGCCGTAGCCAGGGGGGAGCAGATGGTGCAGGTGCACCCCCCTTGAGTTTTGCCTAGTCGCTTTTTAAAAATTTTTACTTGTCACTATTTTATTATTTGCCTCATAATATGTGAATATTGAAGTGAATATTGAATATTCATAGTGAAGCTATGAAAATGTATCCACTAGAACTGATAATATTCAAGTTAAAGGGAACTTTCTGCTATACCTGCCATGCTATTTACCCCGAATCAGCCACCTAGTGGTGAAACTGGTAACTACCTACCATCAAAGTAATTCAAAATCACTGGTCAGAATCAAGATGCGGTAACGGCCGTTACCTTCTCATCTAAGATGGCGGACGAAAAAATGTCGATTTCGATATTTTTTGTTTTCATCGAATTAAACTACTTTATAATTGACGTATTGCTTTGATATTTGAACAGAAGCAAGAAGCTAAACATGTACATATCTTGCTTTGTGATAGTGGTAGGTGAATAATGATTACACTTTTGAAATCTAGAGACCATGCTACATACATACCATGAGAGTTCAATACATGTAAATGAATAAAACAGAAAAATTCGAAACCAAAGGACCAGCCATTTTATTGCAGAGACACAGTGTCTCTGCAACATGTTGTAACAGTCTAGAAAAAACAAGGTCAACTAAACCTTGATGAAACATAAACATGTATTGAAACTAATAAACAATTAAGATTTAATAAACACAATTTTATAAATTGATAGTCCATCCCTAGTCTACTCAATGACTTTCGCAATTCCCATGGTACTCCAAGCCCTCTGGATCCTATCTTTCTGGTCACTAAGTTCAGTGTAAGATCGTACCAAGCATTTAGCATGACGATTTTTAAGATTAAAGAGCCACAGATCAATGCTGATTTCATTCACTCGTTTACCCTCAGACATTGATCTTTTGATGCCTCCTCTAATGCAGGGCATGGCTTGACCACAGAAACACCTGCTTGAAGGGAGGCTGATTCTTCCTCTGTTTCCCCTAGATCAAGAGCATCCATCAGTAATACAAATGGATTATATTGTCATTATTTGGGGAAGAAGAAGATGACGTGGCTATACGTAATGTGGGATGAGTTTCATCTTTTTCGTCAAGCACTATGTTACTGAGGTATTGAATAGTAATATGCACTCTCTGGAACTTGACTGGGATCTAGAGGGAAGATCCCAGTCTTAATGAAACCAATTTTCGTGTTACTTTCGGTCATAGAGTTATGCCATCATAAATATTGTAGAATGGATATGTTTTTAATTTTTTTATTTCAAATGTTACCCTTTCAGAAACAAATTTCTACATCTTCAAATGTTACCCTTTCAGAAACAAATTTCTACATCCTCAAATAAAACTTATTGATAAAGGTTTGCCATTTTAGAGATGATGACAGAAAATATGACAGAAATCAAAGCACAATGCCACGATTATTATAGATGCTATTTTCTATGTTAATTTGAAAAATTATGAATCGTAGAATCTAGTCATCTTCTCTACTAATATTATTATCAATTCTATCTAACTCTTAATTAAACATACCTCATCCATGGTGACAGTTCATTAACATATGCTTGTAGTAGACAAATCTCAACACGAAGAGCTGAAAACACTCCCTCCATCTAGGTGCCTAGTAGTAAAGGCTTTTTGTTCCGGACAAGAACCGAAATGTTGATTTCTTGTTCCGCTACCTACCTATCAGCCGCACTTTTGCTTTGGGACAGATTTTTGTGTTTTGTTTGCCCTTAAATTTCTGATTGCATTTTTTCTCACATGTACACTATGTTCTTGCACAAGGTCCTGTTCAACATTTTTGCCATGTCCTTTTTCACTGGCAAAGTTGCCCCTTTTAGACGTAAGGACAATTTGTGGAGACGAGAGGTGTTTTGTATGAGGAATATAATATTTTTTTTAAGTACTTGGAGCCATTAGAATGACTGAAGAAAAAAAGGTATCATGTAGCTACAGTTTTAACTGGGCTATTTTGACATCAGCCTCCTTTGCTATATCATTTAGATTAATTAATGATCATTATACAGTTATATATTGGCCGCCATTTTGTACGATTTGTTCACTAAAAACGACTTAAACACTGTTTAAATTGTTGAATTGAGAAATATTTTTCGAAACATCGCCATTTCTAGGTCAACAGGAAGTCCTTACTTAAGGACTGAATAAATCGGGCAATCTAATTGGATCATAAGAACGGCAGGAAAAAGTAACGTTTTTGAAAGTTTAAATTCAACCGGAGTCGCCGGCAGTTGCCGGGCATTGTTAAGCATGGGTGACTACGCACGCCGGTAGCATGCTAAAGGTTAATTGAGCACCTGTTGGTTTGTATCTTCACAATAAAAATCTGCAATAATGGTTATGCCCTGTGATTACAATTATATATATTAAGCTAGATTTTTTTATGTTTTCTAAAAAATATAAGTATTACCTGATATTGTAATTTGCCCACTGCCCAGGAGTACTAGACGAGTAGGAACTTTGTGAAAATAAGGAATTTAAAGTGTTTAGAGGTATGAAGACAAGTTATATACCAAATTAAAGCTAAAGACCTCTCAGTCAAGGATCTGATATTAATTTCTTCCTAATGTGCCTCCGTTGCTATAGAAACGGGATGCAAAGGACATGCACACTTTTCAAATCTCATAATAAGTGAAAAATTGTTGCCTTTAATATCATTATGCAATTTTGTCACTATCTATAGACTGATAGATCTGATGCTCCCTTTAACTAAAACAATCCTATATTTAGATTGTAATGTATCCATTCAGAACAAAAATCATATGTACAATTTGAAATTTAGTAAATATAAATGACTAATTTCAATCAATTTTTAAATGACATATAATTCTATGCACCTGGCTTAGGGTCATCATCAACATCCTCCCACTCAAAATCATCACTGAAGTCCAGTCTTTTCCTCACTTGCTGACCCACTGGTCTATCAAAACTTGGCTCAAGTGCAGATTTCCAAGCATAGATCTGACAAAAACATTTATAATCACAAAAATATGTTATTGGCAGGTGTCACTTACATTGATGATTAGAAATGGAAGAAACAAAATTACGTAACTGTCCAACGGTGAAATTTTCTCCTCCAGGAGATGACTTCTAAATGGACATGCAAGTGTAAATCTAATTGAATCATTTGGGCCCTCCTCCTCTTCACTCAAAAAGTATATTCCTACATCACCCCAAAATAACTTATCGCTCTCAGAACTGTTCTTCCTTGATTGTAATTGTGAGGCTGTTAGTTTTCTCTTAAGTTTAAATTCATTTGTGTTGTTGTTTTTTTCTTGAGCAAGGTATATGCTTCTTGCTGACCTGTATTTGTTGTGTGCTACAGCTGAAAATAGACAAAACTAATTTTGAGTATATTGTCTCAAATATTTGTAATTTGCAAGGTAAGGAGTAGTGCCATAATTAAAAATACATCAACATTATTGTCACTATTGCAAATGGAAATTTATTTGTTTCCAGGAATTTGGTCACTATATTTGGGTCAGCGCCATTTCCTTGCCAAATCACAAAAACAAAATAGATACACACACAAATACACTAACACAGACATAAGCACAATTTTGATAAACCAATTTCTCTTTTTAAGAGTAAGTGGTTGTAGTTTTTATAGAAGATTCATCTTCTATGATGGTGTCATGTCTAATGACCAGAGGCAGCTCCCTTCCTCAGTACCATCTGGGGCATCACTTTGTACAAATGGTCAATGTATTTGTTACATTTCTCTGTTGCAACATTGTTCCAGAACTGGGAAATACTATTTACCAGCTTGTCTTTTGTGGTTGGTTTGAGGAGGTTTACCGGACATTGGTCAGTCATAGTTGATTTTATCGAACATGGTCAACCTGGTCTAAAAATGTTCGTGAATTTGGGCGGAAGAACCACCTGCAAACTTCTTGCAGCCACTGGGGAAAAGTGTAACCTGCTATTATAGCCTAGTGTAACCTAGTATAGTAGGAACCTAGTACCTTGTTTAGCCTAGTTCAGTTTTTTATGCACTTAAATAATGGATTATCATTTTGAAAAACAATATCACATTTTGGTAAATGTTAAGGATATTATACATAAACAGAGTTTTGACGAATACAAAAATTATATCATTTTTAATGGGCAATGTTATTGTTGATTTATGGTTGAGTATAAAGAAATTAGAAAATGCTAATAAAGACATGGCTAGACAAATGGAGGCTAGACTCCA